AAAGCTGTTATCTCCACGTACAATTTCAGAGTCCTAAACTTTTTCCTCACCAAACTATCCATTTTTAAGCCACAAATATTTTTCCAGCTCTTTCAGATTTTTATCTAAAAGTATATTTGAACAGTATTTAAATAGTTCTTAAACAATAACAATTTATCTTGATAGATGGCATGCTGTGTTTTTTCATTTTATTTTAATTAGCCATTGTGGAACCAAATTCCCTTTTGTTTTAGTCTTTGAATATTGTTTAATTGTTGTTATCATGCCAGATATCTTAAAGGTTATTTTACCAATACAGTTTCATTTAACATTACCCATATGGAATCAATAGCCCAGTTTCCTAAAGTGAATGCTTGGAAAATCTTACATTCATATGTTAAGAGTACACATCCTTTCCTCATTAGTTGGAAAGTACAGGGATTTTGGCACAGGTTCTGTGTGGAAGCATTGTGCAGCTTTTATATGGATTTTGTTTTTAGCCTTTGATGACACTGTTTAGAATAGGAAGTATCTAATAAGTAAAGCATTTTGTCTCAAGTGCTGCCAGTGTGTTTAATATATGCCTGGAGGTCTGAAACATTATCTTCTTCACTACAGTAATATGCATTTAATTCTCTGAAAGCAGAAGGTCGAACTTTTAAAAGGGACACAAAGTACATTTTCAAACAGAATAATTCAAAACATATGGAACAGGGTCCAGAGTAATGTACAGTTGGTTTTTATGGTTTAATCATGATCATGTTAATGCACACCAGTAGCTAATTAAAGAAAACTTTTATTGTTCATTTTAAATAAGTTAGGTAAAGAGTGGGAGAGCTGATGTAACAGCACTGTCCAGAGATACATGTTTCCGCTGTACTCACTAACAGCAAGCAGATACTGCTATTTTTGACAACTTAAATTATTAGTCCCCTTGGACGATAATAAAGCAAAAGTTATTTTCAGAGTTATTATATTGTGAACTTTTCATTTTCCACAAAGGAATGGTAAATTGATGCCCAAGTTTAGAGCCCAGCACACGTAATTAATTGTGAAACTTTTCTCAGTAGTGGGCCAGATACTCTTCAATATAATTAATAAATCTGTAGTGGACTGGTGACAAACCAATGGATTTTTAAATATGTCTCAAAATCATCAGCTTATTTACTTCAGTGCTACAAATAGTCTGGAAGCTTAGAAAAATGGAGGAAATCTTGGCATTTAACCCAGTTTTAACAATTTAGTTTTCTAGTACTGGGAAAGTTGTACTTTTTTAGTGTTTTGTTCTTCCAGTGAGAGTCAGAGTCTTTCATCTCTGGGTCATTGGTTCAAATTCCAGTCTGCTCAGTAGTGATTAAAATTAGTTACCATCTGACTTCTGTTCAGTAACCTGTGTGACCCGAGCTGATGGCTGCCATCCTGCCCCTGCTGATTATTTATATCTCAAGAACACACTACTTGACATTTGCTGGAGTCTAATGTGGCAGTCTCAACATGTAATAAGGCTGAACACTAAATTTCTTCATCTTTCCTTACAGGTGGTTTGTTTTTCATGTTAACACCTATGGGAACACTTAATTCACTTTAAAGAAGGAGAGACTAGATTTTAAATATAAATCTGTAAATCAGAAGAAGAAAATGCCCTGTGCATAGAAACTGTAGTCTCATGTAGTCTCTTTCCTGATTGAGAGAATAAAAATAGTTTATAAAGCTTGAGTTCTTGATTTGAGTTTGCCATGGAACTCAACCTGAAGGATTTTTTTAGTGTATAAAGGATTTTTTACTGTATAAAGATATTTAGTTTGTAATGCCTAAAAATGTGGGCAGTAAAACCTAGACTGCTTACATACTTGATTTCATTATCAATTCCTGGTTGGCAATGGATTTGAAGGTATATTTGAAATTTTCATAATGGGGATAACTTAAAGCTTTATAATTAAACTTATTTTGATAACAATTGCCTTTATTTTTATTTTGCTGAATTTTTAAAATTAAATCTGTTAATTTATTCAATCAGCACACAGGTGCTAAGCTTTACTATGTGACAAGCAGTGCAGTCTGTTCTGGGAATACTAACATGGTGTTTCCTTTTACCCATACAGCCCGCTAGCTGTCTGACCTTAGACTTATTGATTAATCTCATTAAGTCTCAGTTTTCTCAGCTGTAAAATGGGGATGATAATATTCTACTCAAAGGGTTATAAAACTTAGTAAAGAAAATGTATGTAATGTGTAACAATGTCTGGCAAATAATAAACATACTTAGTGGTATCTTTTTTCCTTAACTTCCATTACTCACAATCTCTGAAACAGAATATATTGTGGAAAGTAGTATAATAATATTAGTTTGTTATAAAAGCATAGAAGTGGGACAAACTAGCACCTCCTGGAAGGGTTGTAGAAGACTTCACAAAGAAAGTGAATTTTTTAAAACTTACCCTTTATTGAGTGCCTATTATGTGTCATCAATATATTAATTTAATGAGGCAGTAACCCTCTGGGTTGAGTGTTAGTGCCTCAATGTGAGTATAAGAATACAGCAGAGACTGAGAGGATTGCTAGAAGTGCAGTCAGCCCACAAGGTGGAGGATGCAGATCAGGAAAGACCGCATGAATATATCTGGGAATGACCTTAATGAGTACAGTATTGAGAAGTCTTCATCCATGTATATTTACATCTTAACAATCATGTAATGCTATTCTGCAGGGCAATTTTTAAATTTAATATTCTATCAGAAACAAACATCATCAGACATTTATGGATCCTCTTCAGTGTGCCAGGCACTGCACTGCTCCTTAGTGATACACAGAAGCCGAATGATATGGCCTATTCCCTCTAGCAGTTTTTCACCTGGTAAAAGAGACAAACACATAACAGCTGCCCATTATTAAGAATTTATTGTATGCCAGGCACTGTGCTGACCTCTTTATGTATATCTGCTCATTGAATCCTCATAGTAACCCTCTGAAGTAGGAATTATTATCCCCATTTTACAGGTAGGATTATGTAGCCCTAGAGAGGTATGTAATTTGTTCAAACTCATACAATTAGAGAGAGTTGACTTCATCCCACATCTGTCTGACTCTAAATCCTGTGTATTGTTTTAACGCTATCTGAAACTGTCACCACAGAACATTTTAAATACGTATATAGTAGAATATAATACAATCTGTCATAGAAGTATAACTGAAGTACTAAGATTACAAGAAGGAAGAGTGAGAGAACAATTCTCAGACAAATGTCTTTGTCTTAATGGATAATGAAAGATTTGCTAGCTACAGCAAGCTCAGAGGGGTGCTCCAGGCCGGGAAAGAGCACATAATAAATAGAATGTTTTAAAAGAAAATGGTGTCTTCAAGGAAGAAGGATAAGTTGTTTTTGATTCAAATAGCTAATGCTGGATTTTTCTAACAACGTGTTTTCCTCAAGAGCTATAAAATCAATTAACAAATATTATTTGAAAAATTTTAATAACTATAACATCACTCTCTTGCATTGTTTATTAGTTCTTTAATGTTTTCACAGTGAGCCATAATTAGTGCAGTTTTTTTTGGAAAGGTGTTTGGCAGTATTCAATAACTTTAAACTTTTCCATACTACTTACCTAGTAATTCCACTTTTAGAAGCCTGTTTTAAGGAAATATTACTAGATGTATGTTGGCAAAAATTGAAAACTTGAATGTCCAGTTATTTGGGAGTGATTGAACAAATTGTTCTTGGCACTAAATGAAATATTATGCAGCTTTTGAAAATTGTATTTAGGAAGAGTATATCAGCATGTCAAGAAAATATGTTACAAATTTGTCTCTACATTATGTTTGTAACCATGAAATGGGTGCAGGTAGAGAGAACCTATGCATAGGTAGAGAAAAAAGGCTGAAAGGAAGTACACTATAATATTACCATTAGTTATATTTGGTGGCAAGATGGGGGTAAGGAGCATTTTGGGTTTTTTTTCCTCTCTATTTCTATGGATTTTTCTTTAATGATTCTGTAGGACTTCAATGAAAAAGCAAGTGAAATATCCAGACACTGAATAATAAGTTGCAAACTGATTGTTGAAAGATCTAAGGAGAGCTGAAGATCTTGAAGTAATGCTGCCACAGTGATCATAACTGCTGCTGCTGCCAAATTGTTTTTTACTCTCTACATAGGGAGTCATTGGTGGAAAGTTTGAGAACTAGTAGCCTTTATTGCACAAAGGAGAAATCTACCTTTAAGGTCTTTACTTAGTTACTGACTTGATTTTACTTGATCACTTACATTTACTCTTGTTTCAGGTCTTATTGTAGGGGAGAATAAACATCTTTTTTCAGTGGCATGCATTTATTTTAGTTTACTTTTCTTTGTTCTTCATAATTTAGGACTACTGACTTTTCTCTCTCTTACTAGCCAAAAACCTATATAGAACAGTTTTATAACAAGGGTAAACAACATAATATAAACCACTTCTGCATAAAACAGAATTCCCAACCAACAGTAATGATGATTTGGAAACAGTTTATTGTATTACTTAGAAAATCACTGTATGGGCCGAGCCTGTGGCGCACTCAGGAGAGTGTGGTGCTGGGAGCACAGCAGCGCTCCTGCCGCGGGTTCGGATCCTATATAGGGATGACCAGTGCGCTCACTGGCTGAGCACGGTGCGGCCGGTCTCAAAAAAAAGGACAAAAAAAAAAAGAAAATCACTGTAAAGAATACTAACTAAAATAATTCTTAAAGAGGTATATTTTGAAATATATGGTATTTTGTATTCATTCACTGAAAGAAACTCTGACACTCAAAAAAATGTATTTTAATGATGGAAATGAACATTAGATGCTTTTTCTCAAGTATTTCCTTGGCATTTTAAGGTGAATTGTTTTTTTGGCATGGGAACCTACTTTGTTTTTATTATTACTATGTTACAAGTTATACTAGACTCGTTTTTTACATTCCCTTTTTAACATGTGTCTATAAAATGTTTACATAACACTTGGCATGTAACTAATTTTAAATATTTTATTATTTTTCTTTACAGATCTCTAAACAAGAACAGAAAAAAATGGATATGTTTGATGGAGGCATGGCTGAGACCTCATCTCGCTACAGTGGTGCTCAGGACAGTGGAATTGGCAGTGACAGTGTTAAAATAAGAATAGTACAAATAGAGCAGCACAGTGGTGCCAGTCAGCATCGCATTGCCCGTCCCTCACGCCAGTCATCAATTGTAAAAAATCTAAACTTTATTCCCTTTGACATATTTATTACTGCAAGTAGAATCTCACTGATGACCTATTCCTGTATGGCCTTACCCAAATCGAAGTTACAAGAACAGAAGGATAATGAAAAAACAAGTGAGAGTTCATTAAATCTCCCAGAAGTTGATTCAGATGTTGCTAAGCCCAACCAGGCATGTATTTCCACAGTGACAGCAGATGATCTCTTAAGCAGCAGCGTTTCTTTTCCTTCAGGGAAAAAAATAGGAGTCCTGTCTCTTGAAAGTCTCCATGCGTCCACAAGGTCATCTGCTAGGCAAGCGCTTGGTGTAACTATTGTTCGACAGCCTGGTCGAAGAGGAACCGGTGACTTACAGCTAGAACCTTTTCTGTACTTTATTGTGTCCCAACCTTCCTTGCTTTTGAGTTGTCACCACCGAAAGCAGCGAGTGGAAATATCCATTTTTGATGCTGTGCTTAAAGGGGTAGCCTCTGATTACAAATGTACAGGTAAGAGCCTTCAAACTTACTGGCTAATAATTACTATTATGTAATCAGTTTTATTCCCATAGTTTCAAGATTGATCAAACAGAAAACAGCTGGCAAACCAGACAAGAATTCTTTCCTCTACAGAATATGTAAAGTTCATGTCCCACAGCTGAATCATGTTTAAGTAAATGTTTGAAATGTATTATGGTTTAGCTTTAGTGTTTTTACTGTGCCTCTGAATGTTCTTTTTTTTTTTTTTGTCAGAAGCTGAATGAAACAGGGACTCTTTCTTGGCTATAGAGATGCCTAACAATCTCCAGTGTTTGGGAAGCATAGCTTTTTTTCATGTTAATTACCCATAGGTGTGCTTTTCATGTTAATGCAGCTGTTGAGATAAAAAAAAAAAAGAAAAGAAAGATGAAGTTTATTGTTTTTGTATTCTTTTTGATCTTGCTACCACATCATAATATTAAATATAATTGAGAAGGTTTATTAATAAAGTAAGATGCTTTAAAGATTACTGTCTAGCTAACTGGCACTTAGCTGCCCCACTCATATTTTCCTTACAATCAGAGAGCATCCCATATTATTATAATTATATGAAATTTCTGAAGCTTGTTGCCTGTTGAGACTAGGAAAGTGAGCAGGGGTTGACATTTTTTAAAAGACATATGAGCTGTGAAGTAACAAGGGCCAATGGGGTCAAGAAAGGTATAGTGGGAGACCTTTTCCCTGAGTTAATGTAGATTTAGAGATTTGGCCGCATAAGACTGGAGAGGGTTGCTGGGTCACCTGAAGTATTGAAAGAGGGGTCAAGAAAGGTATAGTGGGAGACCTTTTCCCTGAGTTAATGTAGATTTAGAGATTTGGCCACATAAGACTGGAGAGGGTTGCTGGGTCACCTGAAGTATTGAAAGAGTGCCCTAGAAAGATGAGGTATAGTTCAAGCATTTATTGCTATCAAGTGGTCCCATCTAGCAGGTGGAAGCCAGCAGTGAGGCATTTGGAGAATTTGCATAATCTGGAAGTCAGGCTTATTCATTCTTGGCATTAAGGAGAACAATTTTACACAGTAGTATCCTGGACAGTAGATGGCAGTTGTGGGAATCAAGATTCAGCACAAGGAAGTAGGATCAAAGGAGCTTTAGGCTTTTGCCAAGGTTTAGTGCAAGTCCCCTGCTGTAGAAAGGGGTAACTGGCTTGTTGCTAAGGAGTAAACAAAGGTTAGTTTACCTAGATTGTTTACTGGCCCTCTCTCCAGTGATGTGCTGGAGCTGGCTGGCGCATACTGGCTTGAGAGACCCAATTTTTAGACTTTCAGGAACTTTGCAAGACAGTACTTAAATTTCTGGTTAAACTTAAATCAGCTATGGTGAGAGTATTTATGCCACAGATATTGGCAAATGCTGTCAATCAGCTCTCCTACTCTGAGAGCCATTTGTTAAACATTTACCAGCAACCACTGCCTCCCTTCCTCAAATACGTTCTCATTTACTGAGTACCTATGATGTAGTAGGTACTTTGGGGGCACTGGAGATTAGGGTGGTGCTGGGATAGTGGAATATGTTACATGATTCAAGGACTCATGCCTACATACCTGATGCCTGTTTGGGGGTCTCCTTAGCATTGGCCAAAACTAGATGCAGGATTAGGAGAATAGATCTTTTTTTTTGTCCTTTTTTGTGACTGCACTCAGCCAGTGAGTGCACCGGCCATCCCTATATAGGATCCGAACTCGCGGCGGGAGCACCGCTGCGCTCCCAGTGCCACACTCTCCCGAGTGAGCCACGGGGTCGGCCCTAGGAGAATAAATCTTAATTCCCAGTTATTCCTTAAGTTCATTCAGCTGCAGTCACTTTATACATGGGTGGCTTCAGTGGCCCCTACTAAAAGATATGGAAAAGACAGAGGAAAATAGGAGGGGTAAGGGGCTGATATGAATAGCTATGACATCATTCCATACTTGCGTTGATAAATGTGCAGAAATCACAGAAGATTCATTTTGCTTACTTCAAGCCCAACCTAAGGATACTCTGTATGTGTCCTCAGCCTTTGAAACTGATTGTTAAGCTGAGGCAAGCAAGAGTCCACAGTAATAGAAGAGAACTGCCAATGATGGGGCTTGTTTCAACTTTCCTAAATTGTAAGAGTAGGTCTGCTTCAATCCATTTTATTGATGTACTCCTAAACCACGTTTGTTTTAGTCTGTTTTGTGTTACTATAACAGAACTACCTGAGACTGGGTATTTTATAAAGAAGAGAGGTTTATTCGGCTTACAATTCTGGGACAGCTGCGTCTGGCATGGGCCTCAGGCTGCTTCTACCCATGGTGGAAAGTGGCAGGCAGCTGGTGGGTACAAGCAGATCACATGGCGAGAGGAAACAACAGAAAGGAAGCAAGAGAGAGAACAACAATAGGAAATAATACAAATAAAAACAGAACAACTACTTACATAGCACTTACATTGTATTAGGTGTTAGTAATCTTGAGATGATTTAAAGTATACTTTGCCATTTTATATAAGGGATTTGAAAGTCCATGGATTTTGGTATTCCTGGAGGCTCTGGAACCAACCGTAATAACTTCGTATTTTTTAAGCAACGAGCTCTGGTGGGAACTAATAGAGCGAGAACTCACTCATTAATCCCCCTTCCCCCAGGGAGAGCACTAATCCATTCATGAGGGATCCGCCCCCATGATTCAATCAGTTTCCAACACTGCCACATCGGAGATCAAATTTCCACATGAGTTTTGGAGGTGACAACACATCCAAACTCCATCAGTGTGTTTATACATTTTTGTCTAAGTCTCCGTTCAGCAAACTTATCAGGGCTCATACTAAAGATGTGCATTTGAATTATAATGAATTCTTAGATTAAAATAATAAATTACTTCTTGTTTAAGGGGGAAGAAAACATGTATGTAAACCAATATGGAACCCAATGTCAGTAGATGAAGCTAGAGTGAAGGAAGGTCATGGGCCAGACTTAGTATGGGGGATACATGTGGGAGGAAAAGGGCTTAAATACCTTGTAAGGAGCATTTTCTGCCTAATATTCTTGTGGATGCCTTTCCTTACACAAAATGCATCTACTTGGACACTTACATTATCTCAATGTACATGATTGTGTTTCTTAAAAGTAAATTTAGCAATCTGGGGAAATTGTCAGAGACCCAAAAAAGCAAGTAGTTAAAATACAGTAGCTAAAAATAAAATGCAACTAGCATTTATGTAGTGCTCACTCTGTGCCAGGCATTGTACTAACTGCTCTAAATGCATTATCTCATTTCATCCTAATAACAGCTCTATGGGAAATGTTATATTCCATCTTACAGATGAGGAAACCAGAAAACTAAAGCTTAGAAGAAGTAAAGTAACTTGCCCGAGGTCACAGACCTAGCATTAAATGGAGCTGTAATTCAAAACCAAGATTTACTGGACTACTAAGTCTGGATTCTCAACTTCTATGTATTCCTGGAGAGGAGAGAAAGATGTCAATCCGCAGTTCTCTGAGTCAGCTTTTTCCCACTCCAGGTCATGCAAATGGTTCCTCTCTTAAGTTTCAACTGATGAATTTGTGTGCAGTCATCCCTCAGTATCCTTGAGGGTGGGTTCCAGGATCCCCCTCAGATACCAAAATCTGTGGGTGCTCAAGTCACTTATGTAAAATGGCATAGTAGTTACATATAACCTACATGCATCCTCCCATATACTTTAAATCATCTCTAGATTACTTCTAATATATAATACAACTTAAATGCGGTGTAAATAGTTTTTATACTGTATTTTTTATTGTTGTGTTGTTATTTTTTATTTTATTTTAAAAAATTTTTTCCAAATATTTGCAATCTGTTTGGGTTGAATTCACCCATGTGGAACTTGTGGATATGGAGGTCTGACTATATGTTAAATATGTTCATGATGTGACTACACAGTACAGCATCTCTTGGTAGTATGACAAATGGGTTCAAATTCTAACTCTGTCAATTACAAGATGTGTACCTATCTCATAGAACAATTATGAAAATGAAAAGAGATAATTCATGAATAATTCTGAAAAACTTAGCATTGAGCCTAGCAAGTTGTAGAACCTCATAAATGTTTGCTGCTACTGCTTTAGTTGTTATTACTGTATCACATAAAGATTACTAAATTAGGAAGCCGAAAACCTGGGATTTTATTACTGGCCCTGCCATTAATTAGCAGAGTGGTCTTAGGCAGTTCACTTCTTTGGGTTTCCATTTCCTTAAAATGTGATGATTATAATAGGTATCAACAATGTCTACCTCACTTCTAAAGTTTTCTGTAATTTGGAATTCATTTCCCCACTCTCATCTTTCCAAAAATACTGAAGTTATACTGCTTTGACCTTAGAGAGTAGACATCTGTAAGCCAGTATTGTTTCTGGTTAAAATTTATTTTGACTTGTTTTGAAGATGCAAATTTTCTTTGATATATACAAGAGCACTAATTAGTTTATTCGTTGTTTTAAATACATAAATTTTATTAAATGTTAATGAAATTATTTTTCAGAAACTGATCAGGGAAATTGGTTTTAAATTGGTCCACTTGAGTGAACTATCCCAAGTTCCATTACCAATTTGATTATCCATGAGCATTTCCTATAGCACTTTTTCATCCTGAAGCAAGCCCTGTTCCATGTTCCATTTGAAAGTCCTAAGATAGTAACCTCATGGATAAGAAAAAAAGAGAAAAATATAAATGGCTATAATTTTAACATTTATGGGGAAGAAAGAAGGGAATAGTAAGGCGGGTGGCTAGCTCCATTTCTGAATTCTCAAGTGAAGGAGTTATTGCAGTGTCTGTTAAGTGGAGAAACAAAAAGGGATATCATCAGGAAGCTAACTTCCTAAGAAAAGTCAAGGAAAAGTTAAAGTCATGTAAGTTAAAAGTGAAAGAAGGGGGCCGGCCCGGTGGCGCACTGCTACAGTGCGCCGCTTGAGAGCGCGGCGGCGCTCCTGCCGAGGGTTCGGATCCCACATACAGACCGGTTCCCGC